AGGAAGGAAGGAAGGAAGGAAGGAAGGAAGGAAGGAAGGAAGGAAGGAAGACCATTGGAACATAAGCCTCTGGGCATGCCTATGAGGGATTATCTAGGTTAGGGTAGTTGAAGCCGGAAGCAGCAGCCTAACCTGCCAGACTGAACAGAAAGGGAAAAGAGTCAAACCTAGCATGCATCACTCTCTGCCCCTTGACTAGATGCAATGTGAGCAGCTGCTCGTGATTCAGCCTCTATGCCTTCTCCTCCATGATGGAATCTATTTCCTCAAAATAAACCCTTTGTCCCTTAAACTGCCTCTTATTAGATCCTCTGTCTCAGCACCAAGAACAGTAACTAATACAGGTGCCCTGCTCTACCTCTTATTCTCAGTTTCCCTCTTCAGCTCATCTCTCACCCCTCTTCATCCTTCTTCTTCTACACATTCTCTGATGACTAATGGATTGTTAGCTAATGCTCTTTATTTCAAATATGAGCTGTTGAGGGAGCAACAGAGCCAGAGGTGAAAAACCAAGGGTCATAGAATGTAGATATGCAGGCCCCAAATCAGTCACTAAGTTCCCCTGTACCTTCTACTCCTCCTCCTTTTCCCTCCCCCTCTCCTCCTCCCTTACACACACACACACACACACACACACACACACACACACAGAGAGAGAGAGAGAGAGAGAGAGAGAGAGAGAGAGAGAGAGATTTGCAAATCCCTACATTTTTCATGACCCATTATTCTCTTTCCAAACTTAAAAAGTAATTAACTTTAGAACAATTCTGCTTGAAAAAAAAGATAACTTGCATTCCTCTTACTCGTCTTGAACCTGGTTTTGTTGGCGGTCTGGGCTGAAGTCACTATCTACTGGCTGTTGGTCCTGTTCCCGTACATTACGGTCTTTGTTTCTATCTCTAAAATACGTGACCTGGAAAGAAAAAAAAAGTAATATGGACATGGAAAATAATAAGGACAGATGACAAAAACATTGTGCTAAGCAAAAGAAGCCACACACAAAAGAGCGTGACTCTACACCAGGAGCCCTTAATCCCAGACGACGGAAACCAGAATAGCAGCGACTCTGAAGGTAGCACAAGCAAGCTGCGAGGGTGGTGATGGTTGGTGTGTCGGTGCAGGAATGAATTTTGTGTGTTTGTTCCTGGTTTAAAACTCCTCTGCTGTGGGCTTCACTGTAAATTTTACAATATAAATTACAACTTGATTTTAAGGGAAGACTTTAAAACATCATCCTACATTGTCTCTACTAATCCTAACCTGAATAACACCCACAGGAAGTAAAACTCTAACCAGCATATATCCTCAAAGAACATTAATGGCAAGTGTCATCTCTAGCTAGAGAGAGAGTTCTTACCGGGTGCTAGGCTCTCTGCAAAGCTGTTATTTTTTTATATATATATATATATATACCTACTACATTTTAAAAATCAGGATCCTACCATTAAATTAGAAAACTTATTGTCCCCGTGTGACCAATAAGTATATGAAAACAAAAGCTTACAGCTTCCCTAGGGTCTGCAGAGAATACAGGTTTCTGTCCAGTTTGGTTCTCACCTAAGCAGAAATCCTTCAGCTGCCGTTTCCTGCTCAAAACAGCCCACTCTAACTATGACCATTCTTATAAGGAATCTATGCAAAGACATTTAAATGTTTGGAAGTAAAACTACTGGCTGCCATGGTATATAATATGGCTACACTGTGTCCCTTAAGAGTACATAGATTGGAAGCTTGGGCCCTGGTGTGTCCAAGTGACAGGGAGGGACCTGATGGGAGAAGCCGTTAGAGCATGGAAAACCAGAAGACCCTGGCTAGTTCTCCAGAGAGTTATGATGAAGGAGCAAGCTTGGCTCCTGCCCATGTTCTGGCTTCCTATCCGGCCGTGTGATGTAAGATAATCCCCTTCCATATGCCCACCAACGTAATGCTGTCTCCTGCGGGATCCCCACTGGAGTCTGCACCATAGTGTTTGGGCTTTCAAATCCTAAAAGTGTAAAGTATATATACTTATTTGTTTATTAGTTGTGGCAACAGGATGCCTTATATGGTACATCCTGTCTTTCCAGGTTGGGTTCCAACTGTCTAGACGCCGACACTGATTTGTGGAAGTTAAGTAAGGACACTCTTTGCTTAATTTTCCTATCTTGGAAGCTCCAATTTTATTATGCTGCATCATCCTGGAGCATCCTTACCTGCAGAGAGGGGTCCTTGTTCTCCGTAAGTTTCGACACATTTACAGAACTGAAAGAAGTCTCCAGCAAAGGCAGAAGGCGACCCTTGATTGTTTCCACACCCTCATTATGTCCTCCTAAGAGAATATACAAGGTAGATCAGCAGGACTGGGGAAAGATCTTAGCCAGAGGACACACACACACACACATACACATTACATACACACATACATACACACACATTACATACACACACACACACACAAATTATATATATATATATATATATATATATATATATATATATATATATATATAGAGAGAGAGAGAGAGAGAGAGAGAGAGAGAGAGAACGGGAAAGGGGAGGGCAGGAGGGTGGGAGGCAGAAGCTGCTCTCACCTTCTTGGGCTGTCACTGTGAGGATCCCAAAGAGCTGTGCTTGTACTTTGGCGACTTCTTCGATGAGCCCGATGCAACAATTTAGATTTTCATCACAGGTGTTGGTCTGTAATGTCAAAACAGAAGACATCCGGTCAGTTCCCACTTTCAGGAACCCACTGCAGATAGACATGAGCCTGTGTGATCCAGGGGCTACCAGGCTCTGACAGAGATTGCTGGGTACACCCAAAATCTATCCCTCTGGACACACAGCTGGGATTGAGCCGTTTGACCTAGGTGACCCTGTGATTGAGTTTAAGTCATAGTCTGGGAAGTGGTATACACCATGACCAGGCCTGGCAGAGAAAATCTCTTGGGCAATCCTATGAAATCCCTAAGAGGAAAGGGGAGTATGGAGCCACAAGACCCCCAAAGCTGTTGACTTGATCAACACTGGCACTCAAATGACAAATGGCTGAGGAAGCTGTTGTGTGGGTGTTTAAGCCATTGAAGTTTAAGGGGCTGCTTTCACAGGAATTGACTCTACTCAGTAGAATCCAGAAAGGGGGGGAAAATCCCCTTATGAACTGAAGAGACTATTTACACCCCCAATACACATTGCTGCCTCATTTATCCGCTTTAACATTCATCCTGTACATACAATTCAGTTTTGAACATTCTATGCGCCCAGTTTACAACCCCTTTAACGGCAGGGAGGGCTTGTGCTGGGTACAGGATACAGGGTGGGGGAGCCAGACAAAAGGAGGCCTGTGTCCACTGGGTAGATGACGGGAGGGAAAGAGGGAGGGAGAACAGAGGGAGGGAGGGGGGAGGGAGGGAGGGTGCGAGGGAGGAAGGGAGGGAGGGAGGGAGGATGAGAAGCATCAAGTCCACTGAAGAGTGGCTGTCTGGAAATATTGGGGAAGGTTCTAAAGCCTGAGAAGAAATTCAGTCAGCTAGGTGGTTTTCGGGAAAGAGATGGCCCTCCTGGATGTGGAACCCTTTCGGATGAGAATGGAACACCAGAAGGTCACGTGGGCCTCTTGCCTTTTATTCTGCTTTGGTCATTATTTAACGTTCATAGCTAAACCTTGAACTGATTCCAACACTGAAAGAAGGTGCAGAACTATGAACAAGCAATAAATCCCATGGGTGTAAACTACATAGATGTCGGGACTATGCACGAGTTACCCAACCTTGCTGACTAGGCCCATTTCCCATCTCATACTGTGGGAATGATAATATCATGCAAAGTGTTAAGAAAAAGAACCTAAGCCAACTACCCAGCCCTTCAAGAAACAGAAGGCTTAGGAATCAGGGCTTAGGAATCAGGGAGCTCTGGGTTCAAATCCCATTCTCAACTAGTTAGATAAATTCTTTTATGAAAGACATTTAAATGAGATGCTCTGTGTCCTCAGATTTAGGAAGCAATTGACTTTTTGAGCTAACTCAAGCACGGATTCTAAATTAGAAGTGTGTCTGTGGTTTTCCACTGCCTACTTCTACACCTTGTCAGGTATCCTAAGGAGCATTTGTGTAGACAACACAAATAGCCAAACAGGCTATCTCAAGGCATGTCACAGCACAAAGCACTGCACATGATGCTTGAGTTATAATAGGATCACATTACCTGACTAGCCCCATCATCTGATAAATGGAGAAAAGATAGGAACTAAATGTACTCTGTCCAGAGCGCAGTTTCCAGATTCATTCATTCATAAGTCCCGGACTTCCTAGTCTACACAGGGCCTTGGATTGGCACAGCCCCCATGCCAAAGCTGCTTCTAAATGAAACGTTTTGACTGTTATGGAAGAGCTCAGCTGGGGAAGAAGGAGAATGAGAAGGAAACGGTCTGTAAATGACCATCCCAGACTACATCAAGTGTTCCGTGTGGGAAGTAAGCGAGAGGCTGAACAAAACAAGCTCCAGGTAGGGGTGGGGGAGAGAGCCGGGGAGGGGAGATGAAGGGGAGAGAAGAGAAGAGGAAGTGGGGAGAGGGGAAGGTATTTCAAGAGAAGGACCCATAAGCAGCAACAGCAGGCACATCTGGAGAATGTGCCTCCTTCATCCAAAGCACATCTGGAGAATGTGCCTCCTTCATCCAAAGACCCAAAGGAAAGCCTCAACCTGCCACAAGAAGGGTTCTGGCTTGATTCACGGGTGACACCAACAGAGCAAGCAAGGTCAGGTCAGTTGACAAGGTCACGGGTGCTCCTCACTTTACAGAACTCTTTTTAGGACAGAGATTCTGGAGGAGAGGTAGAAGGTGTAGGAGGGTGACTGCAGGGGTGAGGGGTGGTAGAAGAGTAAGTCTGAAGGGGAGTGGATGAAGGATGTGGATATCCCAAGGGTCCCCATCATTAATCACCCCTACATCAGCCAAGATCCCATTGAGGTCAGCATTACCTAAGGGTAATGAGTTTGGGCATGGGCTGTTCAGGGTGCCTGCAGGACCCTCGGATGGAAATAGAAGTGTCTAATAAGAATCTCTAGCTGAGCCTCTGCTCCCTCCAGCACTGTGCTAAGACACTTTACATAGACTACCCTGCAGGATGAGCCTCAAAACAATCCTATGCATTGGCTACCTTAACTACAGGAGACTCACCAATGCAGGAAAGAAAAGATAGGTCATTTGAAGAAAGGATGGTTGAGCTGGGCTCTACACGGCTTCCCACAACCTCAGCATGTGAGACATGCTTTACACCACAACACTAACAAAAACAGGTAGAGTCCGGAGCGCTAAACAGAGGCAGGAACGTGTGTGTGTGTGTGTGTGTGTGTGTGTGTGTGTGTGTGTGTGTGTGTGTGTGTGTGTGTGTGTGGTGGCTTTGGATGGGAGAGAGTGGAAGTCCACAGAGATGAGATCATGGTGATGAGACAGGATGGGCAGAGGGCTCAGAGCCCACTTCCTAAGTGGGCTGAGGAAGAAGGGGGCAGTTAGTAAAGAACAAAATGGTGGCAACAAAATGAAAGAAAAGAAAAAGAAAGATGAAGGAGCAAGAAGGCAAAGTGGAGGGCGGCTCCAAGAAAGCAAGAGCGGGTTTCTATGATGCTGCAGTGTGCTTACTTTTTAGCTACCTGACAATCAGACTGGAGCCACAGAACTACGGTTATATGGCATCTCTGTTACTAACAGCCATACACAAGATAGTAGTTCCATCGCATCATTCAGCTTGGGTAAGTATACACTATGATACTCACACAACCACAGAACTGCCCAAGGATGCCTTTCTGAAAAGATACATCCATCATTAAGTGATACGCAACCATGCTTCTGGCAAAGGGATGATGGATAAGACTGATATGTCATTTTAGAGCAGTACAAGTTTGCTTCCTTCCCCTGCAGCTCTTCCAGGTGGCATGATAGGACACCAGCTACGTTCTCCCGAGGGGAACTGAACCAGAGATGGAGAGCTGCCCTGGGACTTTTTAAAAGTATCCTTCCCATTGAGATCTTGAGATCCACTGGTTTGTTCATTCCTGCAGCTTGACCTGGCGGTAAAGAGATGAAGAGGAGGATAAAGTTCTCTCTAAGTTTACCGCTTGGATTACACCCTGAAGAACGTGTTAGTCCATTGACTGAGGAGCGGTTCCAATGGTCAGTGAGTGTTTGAATACACCCCAGCAACACCGACAGACCTCTACTTCAATCACAAACACTATTCTAAACAAAACAGAATACACACCTCAGTGAGGTCTCCTTTTTATATGTTGATATTTAATACCATGTTTTCAACTACAAGTATAGAAATCCTTAATGTAGGAGAAGAGTGATACAGAAAGATCTCTTCTTATATTACCAGCTCTTGCCATTAGCCTCACTCACATATTAAATAACCGATCTTTCTAGGGGCTGGGATTCCACTGACGGAATCCTTGCTTGGCATGCACACATCCCTAATTCTAGCCCTATTAGCCTGTAAACTTGGCATGATGGCTCACATATGTAATCCCAGGACACGGGAGGTAAAGGCAGGAAGAGTAGGAATTCAAGTTCATCTCTAGCTACAAAATCAAGTTTGAGGCCAGCCTGGGCTATATGAGACCCTTTTCTGTTAAAAAGAACAAAAAAATAAAATTTCTGAATTGTAATGTCCTGGTATCTCTTAGTTTACTTTAAAAGAACAATTGCACGCCTGTAATCTCAGCACTCAAGAGGCTGAGGCAGAGCGATTGCAAGTTAGAAGCTAACCTGGCTGAAATGTAACAAGACCCAGATTCAAAAAAAAAAATATGTCATCTACCATATCTTAGGGATAGACTATAAAGGATAGCATATTTACCATTTGCTGCTCTAATTACAGCACACACACCTTTAGAATCAAGGCTAAGCACATCTGACTCAAGTCAACTCCTTAATCCATAGGACTTTGAGGGGCAATGGAAGTATCCCAGAGGGAGGAGGGATTCAGTCTGGGACAGACCTACTGAAGGCAGTGTAACATAAGGTGCCTTTCTTGTCTCCAAATGACATGTCCAATGAGTAATTGTCATCAATATTCATCTCTGCATATAAAGTGATTCTTACCCTTTACAGAATTAGCCGATAAAACTAGACAGCTGTTGCCCCATGAATTTCAGGTATTTAAACAGTGGGCTCTCACATAAACCTTAAGGGGTGTTCTTGGTGTCTTTCATCTTGTCTGCTAAATATGCCAGTTTGATTCATTCATACATTCTCTTGCCTTAAGTATCACTTAGCCTCAAACCCTCTTTCTAGAGATTTCAATTTCCCCATCACAAGACAGCTAGAGCAACCAGTATAAAACCTGATTCCAAGTGGTCCCCTTCCTGCAGTGTGCTTTCAGAGTCTCCTTCTGGCCCTCAAGCAAAGGCTGAACTCCCAAACACACCCATCACAGCTCTATGACATCTGCCTCCAACCCTCGACCTATTCAGTCTCATCTCATTGCCATCCCCCACGCTGAGCTAATCCTGGCCCCACCAGCTCCACCCTACTTCTTGCACATAGAGTTTCCTCTAGCCTTCTTTCTCTTCTGCAGATGGAGGCTCCTCATCAAGGCACAGCTCCATTAGGCATGGCGTGATGGCTCAGCATTTAAGAGCACTGGCTGCTTTTCTGAGGACCCTGGTTCAATTCTCAGCATGCCCATGGTGTATGTACCACCATGATTATCTGTAACTCTGGTTTCACAGGACCTGGTGCCCTCTTCTGGTCTCTTCAAGCATCCTTTTCCTGGAAATTTTTTATAACACTTTATGACATTTATGTCTGGATAGAAGGTGCAACTGAGTCTCAGCACACATGTGGAGGTCAGAAGACAACGTGTGGAAGTCAGTCTTCTCCTTCTATCATGTGGGTCCTGGGGATGGAACTCAGGTCAAGGCTTGGTAGCAGGTGACTCGACCTAATGAGCCATTTCCTCGGCCCTAAATAACATTGTGTTTGAATCCACAAGGAGTAATTGCTTCCATGACCCAGAAGATTCCTAGATGCTTTAAGATTAAAAATAAACCAAAATTTTCAATTTTTTTTGTTTGGTTGTGGTTTTTTGATTTTGGTTTTGGTTTGGTTTTCTCTGTGTAACAGTTCTGGCCGTCTTGGAACTTACTCTGTAGACCAGGTTGGCCTCGAACTCACAGAGATCCATCCACCTGCCTCTGCCTCCCAAGTGCTGGGGTTAAAGGGGTGAGTCACCACCACCCAGTTAAACCAACATTTTTAAGGGCTTTGGGGCTTAGATTGATATTTTTAAAGACCATCAGCTGTCCATTTGGAAACTGAGGAGGTACTATCTGTGGATAGTGTATAGCTCAGGCATCCTCTGAACAAGCTTCAGCGTGAATCAACCTCTAATAGAGATTTCATCACCCTGCCCCACACACAGTCTAAAACCTAGCCATCGGTTTTGTTTGAAATTTTGTTTGATATTTTTCAGACCATCGTTGACTGTAGGTAACTGAAATTGAGGAAGGAGAAACCGTGGTTGAAGGGAAGCTGGATCACAGTGAGTCCTTGTTAACACACAGTTACCAGGCTGGGGGTGCAAGTGTAGCACTGGCCAAATGAAGGTGGAGATGAGGATGAAAGAGAAGGAACCCACAGGAAGGAAATCAAGGAACGCTAAATCGGGTGTTAGTCCAAAAAATCATTAGTTGGAAGAAAATTTAAATTATGTACTGTGTTTAGGTTAATATAAGCCATTTATTCATTTTCTTTTAAAATAACTTTCCCCCCCAGGGGGTGGTTTTAGTTGTAAAGGATTATGCATGACTTGTTTGTTAAAGTTAATCTTAACTAAGCCAATGTGGATACAATCAGCAAAATCAACCTTCCAAAGCAAATACAATTGACAGCTTTTTGATAAATGTAGTTTCCTACAACTAGCATTTTAACAATTAGAGTTTGCTGTAGTGAATATTTATCTTAAGGTTTAAGTCAAAATTCCCCAGTACTAATAAAAACAACTTTGGGGGTTACAGGAACATGCTTAGCAACTGACACAAATCCAAACTACACATAACAAAATATGGAATACATTCACATATAAATTCAGAAACCAGTCCATCTAGATTTTAAAAATCTGAGATCTAGAAAGTAACTTTTTGTTTGTTTCGGTTTGGTTTTTTGTTTGTTTGTTTTTGTTTGTTCTTTGTTTTGTTTTGTTGAGACAGGGTTTCTCCGTGTAGTTTTGGTGCCTGTCCTGGATCTCACTCACTCTGTAGACCAGGCTGGCCTCGAACTCATAGAGATCCACCTGGCTCTGCCTCCTGAATGCTGAGATTAAAGGCGTGCGCCACCCTGGCTAGAAAGTAACTTTACATATTATTATTATTATTTAATTAGTATTTAATAATAATTAAAATCCCAACCATGGAGCAGATGGAAGTACTGAGACCCAGAGTAGCTGGGAAACATTACTTGGCTATTTGTAGCCACATTCAGACCTAGAACTCGGGCCAACCTGAATTCCCAGCTCACATCTCTCCCTGCTGACTGCTCTGTGTGCTGGGTAAAACCCAGAGCCTCCTGTTCCCAGCACTTCCATCGAATGTGAGGCATGCTGCTGTTGGAGTCGGGGTGGAATGGGATTAATGAAATTGGGAGTGTGTTTCTGGGTGTGACAGAATGCTGGTGACACAGTAATTTCTTGGTAACACCTCCTGGAAGCCGCTCTGATACCTTCCTAACTACCATGTTGACCAGCAAGCAAAAGGTGTAACTTTTACAAGTACCCCTTTTCCTATAATAAATAACTCCCGGGTATAGGTTTAGAAAAGTTCACTCTGATATGATCCTGAGTGTCCTGAAAAGTGAGAACCTTGTGGAAAGGCAGGCAGTGGGAAGGGTACAGTAGAAAATAACTCCAAAGCAGGAAGACAGAATGGAGGGGGGGGAGGGGCGGCTGGCAGCCCGACTCTGCTCTTCTGTTGCTAGGGCCTCCAGCGTCCATGGTTACCGAACACCGATTAGCGCTCTGCCGCCTCGGGAGTCACCCCACCCCGGCTGAGAGGTTCCAATAGACAGGGGGCTTCCTTCTTTGGTCGGGGTAGAAGTCTGAGATTCCCGTTTAGGGTCTCAAAAGCGGTGGCTTTGCGAACACCAGCCCCGGCCGAGGTTGTGCGGGGAAACTTAGGCAGGGCGAGCCCTGGGGTCTCCCACCCCGACTCACGTCGTAGTCCTTCATCCAGTAGGTGACTTTATCCTGGAGGGCCTGAAAAGATTCGCTTTTGGCCAGCTTCTTCAAGTTGTCTGCCATCGCGTGCTTTCCCACGCGTCCGACTCCGGGAGACCGAGTTAGTAGAAGGGACGAGGGGGTGGCCTGGGCAGGACGGTGGGGTGCTGTGGCCGCAGGGGTGTTATCTTCTGCTCAGGCTCAGAACGCAGCTGGAGTATCCATCCTCCCCCTCGGGTCGGACCTGGCAGGGTTCGGGAAGCCGAGGGGGGAGGCGCCCTGAGCCGCAGGCGTCACGTCTTATCCACTGCCCGGCGCGCTGTTCTAGCTCCCCCGCCGCCGCCCGCCAGCCAGGCCATAAATAACCCGTCGATTATTAAACAAACCTTGACGTGGCGGCCGGCTGCCAGGGACCCGGGGCTCGCGTCGCAGCAACGCCCCGCCCCGCCCCAGCCCAGCTCGCGCCCAGACTGGGGACCTTGGGGGAGCTGCCGAGACCGCGACCTCCCCACCCCTCACCCCCTCGCGATGGCTCTGGCGGCCCAGGGCGAGGGTACCGAAGCGGTCGGACCTCCGGGTTGTGCGAGCCGCTGGAGGACGTCCAGACCCCGGGCCGGGGGTTGGAGGAGGGGTGGTAGGGGAGGGCAGGGGTAGGGGGAGCTGCTGCCAGACCCTGAGCTGGGCTAGGCCTGCCGGAGACTGGGTGACCGCAGGACACCTAACCTGCGGCGGCACCCGATACTGGGCGACCGACAGTGCGTGCCTAGGAAAGCAGGTTAACTCCGTGGAAATCTTGAATAGACTTCCTTGACCCTTCCTTTATTCCTCCACCTCTCAAGCCTTTAATTCTCCGTTTGCCTGGGTGAAACTGGGGCTAAAACGTCCGTCCTTACTGCTTACATCTTTGGCTTTGTCAAAGCTGGACCCACTCGGTGGGTCTAAGTCCATAGATCCGTACTCTATAGAATGACACACACAGCTACACGGTGAGATAGATGCTCGCCCTAACTTCCAGGTCTTCCTCAGCATGGATAGGTGTAAGCCCTTAGCCAACCTGTGTGCTGTGTGGGAAACTAGCTTTCGCTCTACTTGATATGAAGTTGCTTTTCAAACAGTCTCCGCAGTGATACGATTTCCCCGGTTGGCAAGGGGTTTGTCAACCAAGCGCGAGGATCCCCAGTACACACGTTAAGGGGGGCGGGGGGGCAATGAGACAGGAGACTCCCTGCCTGGGACTGCTGGCCAATTAGTCTAGATAATCACTGAACTCCGGATTCAGGGAGAGACCCTGTCTCAAAAAATAAGGTGAAGAGATCGAAATTTTCACACACACACACACACACACACACACACACACACACACACACACACACCAGAATTTACTCGCATATGCTAAGACACTTTGTCCTCCTTGTCCATTTTAGTCAGCATTGCTAACCCAAGTGGTCTTTGTTCTTACATCAGGAACTTAATTTTGCCCTTTATGCTTTCTACTTAAACCGGGGTGGGGGTAGGGATGGGGGGACCTCCCACAAAGTAAGAACCAGCTGGTTCAGATGGAAGCTGAAGGCAGGTTCCTCCTCTAGGAAGCAATAAAGTCAGGGTTTCCTGTGGAGTGCCAATACAATACCAGTGTGCATTCTCTCTGGGCAGACCAGAATTATTTTCCTGTACGATGGATCCTTCATGTCCAGTTTGCCTAAGGTACCAAAAACGAACAAACTACAAGAACTGTAATTTATTGAAATTTTATCACTATGATACCTAAATAAATATTTACAATAAATTTAAATACAGAATAGAAGAGAAAAATGAGACAGGTATATTGTTTTGGCCCAAATACCCCCCCCCCCAATCCCAACCAAGGTGTCTGTTATACTTCAACACAGAGGGGATCCTTGCCATCAACTTTTTCAGTACCACTTGCTCAGTGAAAGAGCAGATACATGGTGCTGTGGCCATGGCCGTTGAAGGGGAGGGCTCAGCACACACTGAGACACCATAGAGAGAGGAGCAAGGTCTGATCAGCCTTGGCAGATACCCGTCATCCGCTCAGAAGAATGACATGGTACAGCATGAAGGCAGGGCCTCGGATGGGTGGTATGGAAATGGATCCTTTTCACGCATCGAATAGCATTTACTGGATTTCGATGACAACCCACCCATCTGTCTCGTGTATAAGGTGAAGTCAGACTGGCTTCCTGCTCTCTGGGATCTCACAATCTGCAAGAGACAGACACAACTGTAGTTCAGTGTGTAAAGCACTAACAGGACATCTATACAGCTATGGACATAGTGATTCTCCCTTCCCTTGTCTCCTCCCCTGTCTTTTTGGAAGAAGGTGACATTTAGAACCAGCTCTGGAAGGATGGAGGAGTCCACCAGAGACAGGAAAGTGGATGCAGAGAAATAAAAGCTGCAAGGGTAAGAAATGTAGAGTCCACTGTGACTACAGAGCCAGAGACAAGCCGAGAATAGTCCTGGGTTTGGCTATGATGAGCCGTTTGTAGCAAGAGGTTAATGTTTATTTCATAGGCAATGGGAAGGCAGCCAGAATTGTAATTGGATCTCTTCTTATACACCATGTGGGAGGTCCTATAGGGGGTGGGATGGGACTCAGGAAGGGCACTTGGAAAGCACATGTGATGGAAATGTGGTCCTTCTCTGGGGTATTGTATGGTGGGTGTTAAAGCAAGATCTATGACAGAGATACCATTTTTTATAGTCAATGAAAAAGACCAGTATTCAGTCATCTGGATTAATGGGCATTTATTGTGTATTTGGTTCCTACAGTGATCAGGACTTGGAGTAATATGTAATGACAAACTGCACCCAGTTTTTAAGGAGCACACAATCTGCTTAGGAGATAACTATGTTCAAAGCAAAATTACATAAGAAAATATTAAATATAGTTGGGCAGTGGTGACACACGCCTTTAATCCCAGCACTTGGGAGGCAGAGCCAGGTGGATCTCTGTGAATTCCAGGCCAGCCTGGTCTACAGAGCGAGATCCAGGACAGGCACCAAAACTACACAGAGAAACCCTGTATATATATTTTATATATATAAAATATAAGGGGTGTGTGTCATAGTGAACTGGTATAACATCAGTTAAAACAAGACTGCTGGGAGACATTGCCAAGCACATAGCACCCTCCAAATATTTCAGAGGGGTTAAAAGCTTCAAAATAATAGCATTAGAAATCGCTCACATTATGCTTGTGGTTGAATAAATGAATTGGCTCTCTTTTTTAAAACGACAAATGGGGGTGGGACTGGAGCGAGAGCTCAGAGGTTAACATCTTTGACTGCTCTTGCAGAGGGCCTGAGCTCAGGTCCCTGTGCGCATTGGGTGGCTCATAACTGTAACTCCAGTCCCAGGGTCTCACACCCTCTTCTGATCCCTGCCAGTACCAGGCATGCAGGTAGTGCCTATCGGTATCTGCAGGCAAAACATTCAAACACATGAAATATCAAATCTTAAAAAACAAGACACATTGGCAAGGAAAACAAGTGGATGTCCTGTTAGCAATGGGGAATCCAGGGTAAGTAGACCTTCAGACAGCCAAGGGGCATCTGACTTCGGAAAAATCCATTATCAAAGCACCTGCGTGGGGACAGGTTAGGAAAAGCAAGATGGGGCTTCTTATCTAACTCGGAATGTCAGGCATCTCTGGACGACATTTAATAAGTTTCATTATTGTGTGTGATTGAGACATAGGCCTTCAGCACTGCAAACTGAAACCCCACACAAGATTAAAAACAGAGTGCCTCATACTACTGACTTGAGCCTCAAACGGCTCCCAAAAGAATGTGATATTTGATGGGTTCTGGGGTGGGGGGGAGGATACAAAGGAATATGTCGAGAGAAAGGAAAAGACCTTCTGAGCACAATGAAAGATGCACAGGATCCCAGAACCAGTCAAAGGCTGTGTTGTCAACATTGATAAACAGGACGAGAGCCAAGATATCGCACAGACACTGCTAATTCCCAAAGGGTTGTATTTATGGACTTCCTGCCTAAAATGTAGGTACGTTAGGGAGATCGAGCCGGGTGGTTTCAGCCCTTGGGGAAGAAGACATGAGCAGGTAAATGACCACACAGGTGCAGCTCTTACCCCATATCAGACATGAGAAAGGAAAAAGGTTAGAAGACATTCGTCATGTGAGCGTGTCTATTTAAACTTCACAGCCATCAGAAGAGGGTGGGGCAGCAAAGCGACTGGTTACAAAAGCGGGAAGACCCAGCTCCTGGGGAAAAGAGGCAGAGTCCAGCATCCCCTGGGAGGGTCCGTGGTACTTTCTAGAAGCTATTCATGACCTGAGGAACAGTTCTTGGACGTTGCATGCTACTCACTCTACTGCAGTTTTCCTTTCGACATAACGGATTGTTAACCAGAGAGCAACCAATGTGCACCTGTTCCCTGCACCTCCGAATGTCTTCCTGGTGCTCGCTGTGTGTCCATAGTTAGGTTCCTAAGAACCTGATAGAGTCCGCTCATCAACGTTGTATGGACAGACAACCGGCTTCTAATGCCTCAAAGAAAGAGTGCCAGACTTGGCACACGGTCTTCCTGGAGGACTGGTTTGATTTAATTGCCTAACTTATGTCCACTTGGTCTGCTCCCAAACCTCGCCCGAGAGTACTCTCGATGACATTTCTCTCCAGAGCTCTCAAGTCCTCACAGCTCGGGAGGGTCACAGCATTCCACGATTTGAAGCGTGTGGAAGGGACAGGCATGTTTTGGACTTTGAGGGCGTCCCTTTCCTAGGAATGTGAGGACGCCCCGGAGCGCGCACCATCCCTGCCACGCCCATCCAACCCCGCCTCGGTGGATCTGAGCCGACAAGACTCCCGCCCACCCTGGATGTCTTTCGGGGGCGTGTCGGGGGCGTGGCCAGCGAGGATGCGAGCCCCACCCACCCCCCGTGCCAGAGCGCAAGCGCGGGCTGCAGCGGGCCAAGATGGCGGCGGCGGCGGCGGCGGCGGCGGCCGCTGAGCAGGTCTGTGAGCCCCGCTTGAGGCCGAGAGAGGGCTTTGGGGAGCAGGACGGCCGGGTCGTCCCCACGGAGGGCGGGGACGAGGGCGTGAGGGCCGGGCTGGGGCGGCCAGGCGGGGCGGAGCGGGGCGGCAGGGCGGGGCGGCGGGAGCTGTCCGCAGCCGCGATGCTGGCCAAGGCCGGGCGGGAACCTGGACAGCCGCTGAACCAGGCCGGTGAGGGGCGCTGGCCCCCGGCGGGGGTGACCCGGGCCACCGGCCTGCGCAGCCTGCGCCTGGACGTCGCTCTCCTCCGCAGCCAGCCACCCTGCGGATAAAAATAGCGTCAGCTGGGGCCGGGAGGCTGCCGGACACCAG